GTGCAAATAAAATTCTCATGTAAAAAAAACCAACATAAGTTTTTTTTTTCACCATAAAATAAAATGGACATATTTTGAAGCTGAAATGTCCCATCAATTGTTGATACACCTTTTGTATAATGATGAAAATCTTGCTTTCTTCCCCTTCCAATTTACTTTGATGTAGATGGCAAAGAAAACATTTTGATCATATAAAAAGTAATGAATGGCAAAGAAAATATAACTCAAATATTTTGTCCTCAAAAAAGTTCATCTTGTAATGAATATGCTTTTCACCAATATCTTCTACTAATGGCATTCCTTTCATCATGTGGGTATACCAAAACATGATTAAGACTGTGTTTTGGTACTATCGCCACTACAAGCGTTTCAACATGAAATTTGTTCGGTTGGTACTATTGCCACTACAAGTGTTTTGAGAAGTATTGTGTTTGATATTGGCATTGCTACACGAAATATTTATATTCAATGTGATACCACCCTACTATATTGATCTCTCATCCAATCGTCAAATTTAAAAATAAATGTTTTTTGATGTGGTTGACTCGTTAATATTACACATAGATCAATATTTACATGTAGATCTAATGATCTTAGAAGTATAGACAAAAAAAAAAAAAGCACCTTTGTTTTGGAAGTAGGATTTATGGGTATTCAATGGTGTATTTCCATTTTGGCTAGTATGCGATGCACCGGAATATATCTCTACCCTAATGTAGAATGCCAACTAATTAAGAGCCATTAGATTGTTTGTTCAAATGTGCAGCTGATGGAGGAAACATCAATTCCAACTCCCCCTGGTTTTATGTTTGTAGAAGAAATGTTTTATGACTATTTTAATTCAAAACAGTCTCAACCAAACAAATAATCCACATTTAAATTCAAAACACCTAGGTGGCACTATGTGGTAGAGTTTCAAGTAGAAACAACCACGGTACCAAAGATCACTTAAATCAAGTTCTCACTCTAGGAGTGCTTAGTGGATTGGTCAAATGGACATTCCTTTGGTTCACCTTGGCATCAAACCTTATATTGAACTTCACTAAAATGGATCGTCAGACCTTCCTCCTATCCTAAAGGCTTGCAAAGCAAAGTTCTAGGGTTTGTAGGTGCTTGCAATTGGCTCACATTCGGATAGGATGTAGCAGAATTCAAATATGATCCAATTATTGAAAATTTGTATCTGAATTTGATTTGAAATTTGATCGGATTTGAAGACCTCATATTCGAATATAAATCCTAATAGACTTGGACCATATTCAAATTTAATCTCACTCCACTTTAATTTTTTAAAATACAAAAAAAAGTTAATTACTTTTCAAATTTTATATATAATAAATTAATTTAAATATAACTAGCAAAGGGCCCCTGCAATGGAATTGTGAAAGTTCTATGTAAACTATTTGCTTTAAAAGGATGAGGGAAAAAAATTAATAGTTTCAGTAAAATGATAAAAATGATCCAAGTTTTTATCACCATCTTTGTAGTGAAAACTATTTTAACTCATTTTTCATTTATTAATTTTTATTTATAGGGCTAGTGGAATTCTGAAAGTCGAATGTAAATTATTTGCTTTAAATAGGAAAAAATTTAATAGTTTCAATAAAATGATAAAAATGATCCAAGCTTTTATCACTTTGTAGTCAAAACTATTTTAACTCATTTTTCATTTATTAATTTTTATTTACAGATAAAATATTTGAATGACAACAAGTAAAATTAATTATACATTTAAAAATAACATTGTCATACAAATATACACTGACACTCCACAGTCAGGATCCAACTCAGGTTTACTCCAACTTAGCACCTAGGGACGTGTTGAAATAGAAAATCCCTTCGAGTTCAAATGCATTAGATCCGATCCGAAGTGCATCCCACTCTTCTCAAATAAAAAAATAATGTCCACCCCACTAACCTCAAGTCCCCACCATATGGATAGTTAGCTACAACCTACACCCAATAGAATATGATTGCTAAGAAAGAAACCAAGTAATCTTGCAAAATCTTCCCTTTGGTCAAAGCGTGTCCATTCCTGCATATCATCCTTAGACTCCAGTTGCAATCTTCGTAGTTCGTCCATCATGATGTAATTATTGTGGGAAGAAAAGTTGAGAAGTCAAGATAAAAGTTGAAGGAGAACAGACAGATTGATAAAGGAGAGTTCTGGTTCTCCCTCCCTAATAGTTATTCCTTGTATTATAAATAAAAAATAAAATAGAGAAGAGCACCACCATCTCACACCAATCTCCATTCCAACTGCAAACAAATATAGAAGAAACACGATCAAACATCAACACCTCCAGAAACCATCGAAATAAAAAGGAAAATGAAAATACAGAAGTACAGTAGAGTAGGCACAATGAAGACAGCCTCCATAGTCAATAATAGTTAAATTACAAAACAAAGGGAGTCGAATCTTGTAAAAAAATAAACATAAAGAAGGAGAAATAGATCACATCAAGCTGGGAAAAAACAAAGTAATTTGGAAAAGAAAAATAACAGATGAAAAGCCATCTATCCTAATCGACAATCTTGAATAACACAAACATATGAACTTGAATTACAAACATAGAATGAAGAAATTACCCACATGCTCTAGGTCACAAGAGCCACCCTTGAACTCCATTTGTACCAATGAACAAAAGTGAATCTTGCAAACATAGAATGAACAAAAGGGAATCCTACAAATTAGACAAAGAAGCATGTGAACAGAAAAAAAAGAGAAAACAAATAGCAAAGGAGATCAAGTTAGATGATAAAAAAGACAAATAGAATGAAAAACAACTAAAACCCTAAACTCAAATCAAACCACCATTGTAACCCAAACCTGAAGAATAAATACTTCAAGGAGCACCCTGAAAAGAATGAAAACCTGAAAAAAAAAAGAAAAGAAAATGGAAACATTAGTGTGTTTACAATGAAAAGCAAATCAAATTAACCACATAACTAATTCAAACAACAGATTTTCCAAATCATTGCAAATAATAAGGAAAAAAAAAAGCCTAGTGATTCTTCTAAAATGAAAGAGATGAGGGTTAAGAGAGGAAGAGATGAGAGGGAGAGAGATGGCAGAATACTCTCAAATTGGATAGAAACCATCAAGGGTTAAAGAGAGTTATATAAAATAATACAAAATTAACGTTGTCATTAATTATAAGTGGGAACACATGGCATTTCAAAAAATTAGTTCGAACACATGGCATTTCAAAAAATTAGTGCGGACACATGTATCTTGCACGCTTGGATAGGGTTAAGCATGTAATTATTGACCTTGCAATAGAAAACGGATGCTCTCACATAGGAATTTACTCGCACGAGTAGATTCCATTTGCTGCACGGAGAGAGCATCCCAATCGTATTAATTTAGATATATAATATATATTGAATTTTTATATATAAATTCATAAATAATATAAAATATAAAATATATATTTTATAATTTTATAAAATTTATACATTAAAATCAATAAATATTATAATATAAACGGATTTGGATTTTAATCGGACCAAATGGAATCAAACTTAAATCCAATCCGATTACATAAATACATTATCGAAATCCAAGATAATCGAATCAAATGTTGGATTGGGCTACAGATTTTTTGAGTATCATTGATAGGCCTACTCATTTGAGAGGGCTTTCACATAGTGGTTTCTGGCTTTGCAAGGTGAGCCCCAAATGAACAACCTAGAAGCTATGTTTAGTGAAAAAACCTAGAAAGTCTAAATATGCTTTCATTCTACCAAAAAGCTGGCTTTGCAATGAAGCCTTGTTCCAATAGCTTCTTCAAGGTGGCTTAGTGAAAGTAGCTCAATCAAAGTTGAATCCTTCTAAATGGGCCCTAGGTTCCAGTAGCTTTGCCAATAGAAAAGTGGGCTGTAAATGGTATCCAATTTGTTCAAATTTGAATTCAAATATGATCATATTAAGGGCGATCCAAATTCGATCCATTTATAATTGGATAATATATGGATCCACCCCTATCTAATCCAAATAATATGATCTGATTCAATTTAAATATATTTGCTCATATATACTCAAGATTTATGTTGTATCTATTATAAAGTTTATTTGAATCTTGTGTTTTACTAGATTGGCATAGCTTCAAGTATCATTCAATTAATTTTTCAATTCATTTTGTTCATGACATATAATATCAAAGCCATTTTGATTTCAATTTATTAATAATATATAATATTTGATAATTTTTAGTTTAATTTATTTATAATATCCAATACCCCATAGCAATTCAATTTGATTGAAATCCGATATAAATCCAATAGATATGATCTGATTCAAATTTGCATACAAATAAATCAAATTTGGATCTACCCATATTCCATTTGATACATTGCAACACTATAAAATATTTGGCTTTTCCTCCCAAGGCTACAAATATGTACAGTATAAATACATACAAAATAATACAAAATACAAGGTTTTGTATTCTATATATTTGTATTTGTATTTCTTCCCAAGGAGTACAAATATAATACAAATATGTAGTGTAGTACAAATATAATACAAATATAATACAAATATTTATACTCTTTCCAAACTGAGCTAAAGACACCATCTCACAGTCATCTCATATTGAGGACCAATTTCTTCTTCTTCTTCTTATTTTTTAAGATATTACAGACAGCCATCCTTTACTTATAGTGTAGTGACACTTTGCCCCTCAAGCTTTGCTTTGTGACAAAGAACTCCCTTGAACTTCTTGATTCTAGTACCCCCGCCATTAGCCTTCTCTCAATTGACTTCATGGTATATTGACTATATTCTGTCAAACATTTCTAAAACCGTAAATTACCTTTATTTTGTGATACCATTTTGATTTTTTGACTTATTTTTTTTCTAAAACCATAACTATTACATGTTTCTCTCCACTTTCTCTGAACAAATTTCATCTTTAAAATACTTTGAGAATGATTTGTGCTTTAGAATGGCTATTTGGGCTATTTCGTCATTTTGATTCGTAGATCATAAAAATCTGTAAGGGCGTTAACCGTACCCGAACTTTAACCCGATCCAAGCTAAACCGGCCCAAATTGAAGCGTTGTATTGTATGGATCAAGAAGTATTAAATCTGTGCCAATGAGAAGTGGCTCAGAATTGCGAACAACATCTAATGGGGCCCATCATATCTAAACAGTGAGGAGTCGAATAATGGAGTGGACAGTGGAAGTGCCAATCTGGAGAATACGAAACGATAATACTGTGCTCCCTCCAGCGAAAAGTTTGGGTGCTGATGATCGGAAAAGAGCACGGTAAATGGAGCTCCTCTCGCTGCATTCTCCTCCTGCAGTCGGTCTACATTGCTCTTCCTTACGAAAGGTTTTAACCGGAAAGCGAAACATCTTTGGTCAGGGTCTCACATTTTCCAATTCAAAGAGGTATCCAGATGCCACCAACCTCAAATTTCTTGATTGCAGAGCTCAAGCATCTAATTCGGGTATGTCATCTCCTGTGTCCTGACAAAACCAGTAATACATTTTTAATGGCTGAAGTGGGCAACTTTCATTTGATTATAATGTACAGCTACAACATTCATGTTGCTGATTAGTTAGCTCTCAGCTCTCTTTCATCGTTATGTTAAAATGATTAGCCCACATGAATTTGGGAGAGTATATCCATTCAGTGGTGGGCAGCAATGAAAGAATAATCTTTCAAATGATGTCTAAAATGGGAGTTGAAGTATTATTTGGATATCATATTATTGCTACTGGCTGCAGGTATATTTTTCTATACTTAATCCGAGTATGTTTTGGTTCTGAAATTGAGGCACTATGGGAAACTAATGTATCATTAAAAGAAAACAAAAATTTACCCAAGGAGAATGGTGCACAAGGCACCTGCCTATACAGCCATATCTGCATCGGAAATTCTCGGTGGAAGTTTACATTTGAATTAATACCTAAATTTGCAAGAGAAAAAAACTGATTAATTCTCATACGGAACTCATTGATGGTGGAATAAGTTTGACCTTATGTGCTTACATTTTGCTCATGTGAAGAAAATTTTGGTCGCCAAAATGAAATTGTAAGAAACTGGAAGGACTATGCGGACTTACATACTTGCCTTCTTCTAATTGGTCTTGCCACAGATTGACACCATTTTCTGTGAATAGGAGGAAAATGTAATTGATGTCAACATGTTTGTTTAGACAAAACAACTGTAACAAATGTTCAATATGCCTACACAGATGTGTGCTTGGGAGTCACCTGGTAAATTTCATCAGAGAATATAAAAATGAAACTGGAGATGAAACAAATAAAACATCCTGCATCAGAATATCCAGCTATCTGTAATTGATTTAATTCAGAGATGTTTAGCCATATGCCATATGGTCTGTTGACTGGAGATAATCTATCCAGTACCCACATCAACAGTCTAAGCCTTTCAGTTGAGACTTTATTTGCATAAATGGTGTTTATTTAAAATGTGTGTTTTTACTACCCAAAGTAATCCCTATTTAAATATCAGAACGGTGTAAATAAATAAGAAAAATTGCATTAAATAAGCAATTAAAATCAGTTGAACCAAGGTTTTAAAAGGCTAAAGGCAGAGGGCGGAGGCGAGGTGGTTGGGTGTGATAGGGGGGAGGCCTAAGCCTCGAACAAAAAAAAGTAAAATTTTATGGATATAATCTATAAATAATAAGGGCATGAGAAAATACAAAATCAAGATTTTATATAATATTATGTGGCTTATTTGATATATTAGACATGGATTTGAATCCTACCTGAGTATTTTTGTCTTCAATCTGATTAAAAACCTTGGTTGCATAATCTATGGAATTGTGGTTGAAGAAAAGACGAATCATCTCAAATAGTACAGAAGGGTCTTGCTCATGGCTTATTTTATTATTCTAGCATGTAGTGGGTAGACTTGGCTGATATTTCTGCACTTCTGCAACTGGGTGATGATTCCATATCGATCATCACTACTCCTATTTGAATTCGAATTTGGCAAGAAGGGAGATGTGCTGGCAACGACCAGGGTGAGAAACCATTGGCCAATCTGTTATTTCTTGTTTTCTGTAAACTTTCTTGTGCGGCAGGTGTCTATTGACTTGCACTCATAGTTCAAAGCCTTAGAGTGAGGCTCAATCTCAGGTCAGAATGGAATATAATGGAGTGCCAGAGCAACCCCCCACAGTCCAAATTAAATAGTTATAGATGCTTTTAGTATTTTGAGTAAACACAGCAAGATGGTAGGACATTATTGAAGCAACAAATACGTTTTATTCCAAATTAAATATTGTATGTTCCAAATAAAATATTGCATATTCACGAAGAATAAAACAGCCAAAACAAAGCATTGTTAAAAAAGAACAGAGCATCATGAGAAGCAAAAAAAAAAAAAAAAAACACTAGAAAAGAATAGGAAAAGAAGGGACCTAGTGGTTCGTTTTAGTCTGACCCTTAACTCTGTCGATCTTTGCTGCTTTCTTAATTGTTTTTGGTGCACTAGTACAGCCTCACCCTTAACACTGGTTCATCTTCTAGTCTATTGACAGTAGTCAGTTTCTTCTCTCGTCTCCGACTCTTCAGTTTCTACAATTCTACTCTAATTCAAAAGTAACATAGAAAAATGTGCCCTAAGCTTTTGGATTTGTTTATTTTTCTTTAATCTCAAATTTACCCCTGTAAAAATATAATTATTCATCATTGACAACCTTAAAATTTGGAGCGTAGGCCTCAACGATGCTGAGGCTGAAGACAAAAAGGCTTACGCCTCTACCATCTCAAGGCCTAAGCCTTAGCTATTGGGGAAAAGGCTACCAAGGCCAGGCCTTTTTGGTCCGCCTCGCCCCTTGCCTCTGCAGCCTTTTTGAAACCATGAGTTGAACCATGTAAATCTTGTCTGCCTCACCAATTCAAGATTGTGTGCTACCATATATACAAGACCAATGTAGAAATTCAGCTCAACTCAACTATGTCTTGGCACAACTATATGGGGTTGGCTACTTGAATCTTGTTCCATCATTCCACTGTGTAGAAATTACATTTTTCTATTGTTCAAATATCCACATAGAGAATCTACCTTTCTGCAGACGTGATCCATAAAACATAGGAAATAAAATTGGGATTAATAGTATTATAGATCCTAAGCAATATTGGAAAGTAATGAAAAAATTATTCTTGTTTATCAAGTTTCTCTTTCTATTCCTGTTATACTTTACTGTGCCAGTTAAATTGCACTTTGCAAAAAATCTATATTTGCTTTAAGAAATTATTTGATTTAAGTTACTCTATCTGTCCAAGGCACAACTAAAGCCAATCCAGGGAACTCAGAGGTCATTACACAGGAAAGCCAATCAGAAGATGAGAATCTTGCATTTGTTGCTGGTGCCACTGGTAGAGTTGGTTCACGCACTGTAAGGTTAAATTCTACTCTCTATACTTCAGATCACAAAGGATAGTCCATTTAGCTCTTCGCCATAAAAGATGCTAATTTGTTGAAATTTTCATCAGGGAGCTTCTAAAACTTGGCTTCCGCGTCAGAGCAGGCATCAGAAATGCTCAAAAAGCAGAACCATTGGTGCAAGTGTGTTTTGAATTAGCACTTATAGGTTTATCCGTGGCTTCACATATTCCAAACATTTTGATGTTAACAAAGTATTATCTCTTTGCAGAGTGTTCAACAGATGAAACTTGATGCTGCAGTTGAAGCCACAGGAGTTCAACGTAAGAAAAAAGAACTTTGACTGCATAAAAACTTAAAATTTTCTTGAATGGTGAAAAAAATAAGAAAAAAGAATCATTTTGAAAAACAAGATGTTTGCAGCTGTCTGTACATGGCCATACAGTGAATAACAGATATTATTTGGTCTTTAGACCAGCTGTAGAGAAGCTTGAAATTGTTGAATGTGACTTGGAGAATCAAGATACAATTGGATCGGCTATCGGTGATGCATCCTTGGTGATATGCTGCATTGGTGCCAGTGAAAAAGAAGTTTTTGATGTCACTGGACCATATCGAATTGACTACCAGGCTACTAAAAACCTTATTGATGCAGGTAAATTCAGTGCTTGGACTTGCTTTATTTGTGGTTATATTGGTTGCTGTTACAGTGATAATTTTATGGTCCAATAATCCCAATTAGAATAAAGCAAGCAACATGACCCTAATGACCCATCAGAAAGTTCCAAAGTAATTACAAGTCTGGTGCAAAAACCATTGACTAGAACTGCCAAACTATCCACTTTTTCTCTCGGTGTGAAAACCATTAACTGGATTCTATGGTAGATTCACAATCCAGAGGGGGAAGCCAACATGCAACGTTTATAGGTTACAGACCTGATTAATATCTGTAATGTATTTGGAAGGGTATGCATGTATGTTCAGGGGAGGATAATGAGCTAGCCATCAGTTGATGATTTTGGGAGGGCCTTACTGTGCTCTCATTATCTATTATTTTTTCTTCCATTAATTAATACAGTTACCAAAGGTCTGGGCCATCTCTCTCTCTCTCTCTCTCTCTGCACTTGGAATTTTGTTTTTAATTGACATATCATGTTTTCTCCTTTTTAACTTCAGGCTCTTTTCTACACCTTTACACCTAAAAATCAATTAAAACTTTAGATTATTATGAAGTCTCCATGTTTTCTGCAAAACAAAATCATGTTGGGTGTTTTATCCTTCTGGAAATAAAATGGTCCACAGCAAGGATCTCATGGAGATAATATAGACCATAAGGAAAAAGATTCCTTGAAAGGAATGCTGGTTCTAGATGACTCAATTGGGAAAGATCTGTGACTTTTCCTGCTCAAGTCCTTGAGGGAGAAGACCAAAAACATACCTTGTGGTTTAATATTCCAAACTAGATCCATGGAAGACCTGAGTTCTCATATTTTTCACATGTGCAATCTGTGGGTGCTGAATTCAGAGATGTACAAAGGTTTCACTCTAAACATGATTAAGCAGAATGTAGTGGAACAGTTGTTCTCTTCACCTAGTTGTTTAATAGTTAATAGCCCCCCTCCCCCCAATCAAGAGAAGAGGAGGAGGTGACTTTGTACTTTGATGGAAGTGCACTAGGGAACCCGTGATTAGCTGGAATTGGTGGCATGTTTAAGAGGAGGGATGGTAGTCCTTTGTGGTTTTTTAGTGGACCAATAGGGACTGCAGATTCTACAACGACTGAAATTCTGGCAGTGCTAAATGGCCTCTATATTACAAGAAGTCTCGGATTGACCAACCTGGTAGTAAAAGGGTGACTCTTGCAATGCGATAAAGTGGCTTGGGGAGAAGGAAGACGAGCCTTGGAGATTGGCTCACTACCTGGATGAGGCTAGAGATCTGTTATACTCCTTGAATGTAAACATAATCTGGATTCCCAGGGCCTTAAACTCTGTAACAGATAGTTTAGCCAAATCTGGTGCACACAGGGAAAGCCTATATAGTGATAGTATCATGCCTTTGTAACCTGTACGAGGCTTGCCATCTTTGTAGATCATCTAATGTACTATTTCTTTTTCTTTAATAAAGTTACTATTTCTCTCAAAAATATTCCAAGAATGTCATTCATCAGAAATTTGGGCTATGGTTGTTTGCTCTAGTCTGCCCAAAAGTCATTTGAGCTGGCCCTGTGGTCCATTTCCTAGAACGCGTTCTCAACTCAGGGCACTGGACTACTAATAAAAAAACTTTGGGCACCAGACATGCTGTATCAGTAATGGCATCATAATAGCTGCTGGCTGCTGCTTATCATATCAATATTAGCTGTCAGTCAACTGACAAAAAGTAGAGAAATCCACTTTTAATGGGTTTACGCAACATATTGGATCATCCTTTTCAACGAAGAAATAAATTTATTAAAACCTGGGACACCTTCAAAATACCCACACAATTGCCATAACTAGAGATGACTTCACAGCTTTCCTATCCATGAAATTTAAACCACACTTATTCTGTCCTATCCATAAATGACTCCCTCCATTGCAAAACCTGCACTGCCACTTACTTATAAGCACTATGTATATTAAACTCAAAGCTCTGATACCTAAGTTTCTCAGTTCTTTTGACGGGTTAAGACCTTTTCCCTTTACATTTCTAGTGTAAGCTTCTCTCTTTTCTGTTTGTAGATATAGCTGGCACTTCATGATTATGTGCTGCACTTTTTTCAGGGTTGAGTATCCTTGTACCCTCCTCTTTCCATGAAAAATTCTGTTGCTAACAAGTAAAAAAGTGAAGAGGAAAAAGAAGGCCACAGTTGAGTGCCAACCCACCTGGACCTCAATCTTTACTGAAGAACATACCTGAGTCGCCTGACCTGTCAAGTATACTTGAATCTTAGTATTTGGGCAGGCAATTGATCCGCCTGGTATGAAGTTGGACGAACCCAACCCTCTGCCAACTCCCCTTGAGCTTGTTTTGCTGAATCTTCGAAAGGAGAGGGTATGAGAAATATGGATTATCTAGTGTTGAGAGTTTAATGGTGTAGGGGTAACAAGATAAAAGCTCTTTTGGGGCCCTAACATTTCAATATAATTGTATATTTTGTATATTCTGACTGCTGTACAGGGGAGCCCCTTTTTGGGATTAGGATGCCATTGGTATATTTTTAATATCCTAGGAGATTATGCTTATCTTATTATTATTTTTATTGATACATACTTTGATCTTGTTGTTAATCAAGAAAACAACGAAAAGAAGAAAAGAAAAGAAAATAAGAAGCCTTTATGATCATGAAATGGAGGGTGATCAAATAAAATTTTCATTCAGGGGAATGGAGTTCATTCTTTTTCATTCTTTTTCCCTTTCTTCTTGTAATTTGTCCTTACATTCAAAAATGGGATTGAACTGAATACCTTTTCTGAATTTCCAGCAATCATTGCAAAAGTTGACCACTTTATTTTGGTTACCTCCCTGGGTACAAACAAGATTGGATTCCCTGCTGCTCTTCTGAAGTAAGCATAAAATTAAATTTTTGCATAGATCAATTTAACATTTTATTAAATCGTTTTGTAAATGATGCAGCTATTGACAGAACCAAGTTAGTAGTGTCTCAATTATCTATTCAGCAATTAAGTGTTTTAACTGACCCTCATTTGTGCTTCTAAAGTTTGTTTTGGGGAGTTCTTGTTTGGAAAAGAAAGGCCGAGGAAGTACTGATAAGCAGTGGCCTTCCATACACTGTGCGTAACTAACATATGGAGTTTGATTTATTTAGTTGTGTTCTTGATGCATCTCTGCTCCAATTTTGTTTATTCATTTGATCCTGGTTTTCAGATAGTAAGGCCTGGAGGGATGGAGCGGCCTACCGATGCTTATAAGGAAACTCATAATATTGTTCTTGCTGAAGAAGACACTTTATTTGGTGGTCAAGTGTCAAACCTTCAGGTTTTCACATTTCTAAGCCTTATTTGCATTTAGTATATAGCTGGACCCTGTTTTCTTTGCTGGAGATGCATTTAATCAATTTTGAGACAAGAAAGGCTACACAGTTTCCTTGCCGTAAAAAAAGCCATATTGTTGTCTCCATGTTCATGTTTCCTTTTTTGTTCACTCCCTTGTTACTTAGAAGTTATTCTTTCATAAAGGTCGCCCATTTATTGAAAGCAATCACCAATTTCTTCCTGATGGGGGGTATATAATCAATTAAACAGAAAGAAATTTCCATTTGAAGGAGAATCTACTTTTGTAGGAAAAAAGAAAAAGAATTATGGAATTGAGGGCTTGGATGCTACAGAGTCACTGATATTTATAGTTTATACTTGATGAAAGATAAATTTCATTATGCATGGGAGTCAGAAATTCCAATATCTTCTTTAAGCATTGGTCCTGTTGGAGTTCAACTCTTGACTTTTGCATATAATATTCATATACTAGATTCATCCTTTTAAATATTCCAAGTTCTCCTTTCCTTACCTCATGAGTCTGCCATATGACTATAACCATGATTTTCAGTCTTTTGTCCAAGTCTATAAGCATTGGTTACTAACACAGTTATTGGGTTATGGAATCATATATATCAAGTAATCATCCTGTCATGAATGTAAATAACAGGACAAAAATTAACACCTCATATCACAATAAGTATAGGCCACTATGAGTCACTTGGTTGAGCATATCTTTAGCATATTTTGTTATTCATTTTCCTTAATTGTACAATTTTCATGTGAAAAAGAAAGAAAAGCTCAGCATTATCATAATGACTATTTACTTTGTGACCTTATCTGGCATCTGATAATTCTTGATATCGCCTTTCCAGTCGGCAACCAGGTATTGCATTTAATTACCTTCAACCAAAACATTTCTGTGCAACTTTGGAGTATATTGACCAGAGATATCTTATAGGTGGATTTTTGTGTTCACCCTAAAACATTTATGTGCTGACTGCTAACAACCTTAGTGCAACAAAATTTCCTTGAACCTTGTTTCTTGTAGACATCTAAGCAAAATATAATGGATTACCATAGGCATAATTTTTGAGAAGAGAATTAACTCGCCACATTGAATAACATTCCATAGAATATTTTTAGTATATTCTTTTGTTTCCCCCTTTCTCCTTGATTTCGTTTTACAAATATCATGTGAAGTCCCTAGTTTCTATGTATAATCTTTTTTTGTCATGCATCTCCAGGACTCATGCTTGAACTTTTTCTAAGTTAATCCATTTGGGATTTCAGTTATAATGCTTATATGCCATATTGTAGGTAGCTGAACTTATCGCATTCATGGCCAAAAATCGAAGTCTATCTTACTGTAAAGTGGTAGAAGTCATTGCAGAAACAACTGCAACACTGACTCCCTTTGGAGAGCTTCTTGCCAAGATACCATCTCAGCGTGTGGATAGCTCTGCATCAAAGGTAGGATAATTCTGTACAAAATAGTATTTCTATTCCATGAATACAGAGAAAAGGTAAGGTGTTTTATTAATCATGTTAAGAATAAAACCAATTCTTCTTTGAACATGGATATATCCTTCCAAAGGCCAATTCAATGTGGCTGAATGTCAATAGAAGTAACTCAAGTATACCTTTAGAGAGAGTGAGAGAGAATGAAGAAAAAGGGGTGCAGATTTTAATGGTACTGCCGCCCCAATGAATTGCTATTTTTATTAATCAGTGGAAGAGGTAAAGATAGGAATACCCCTGTTGCTTATATAAAAGAGAGAAACAATAACAAATAATAATAAAACAACAACAAATAAGCAACAAGTAGTGGGACCACAAATTAATTAGCTGTATCTCTATACTCCCCCTCAAGTGAGGAGTAGATATTCATCATTCCCAACTTGCATAGATCTGTCTCCTACTTGAATTCGCTAACTGCTTAGCATGTTGCATATCAGAGGCTATATAAGGAAGACATACTTCTTGGGAAGCAACTCTCTCTTTGATAAAGTTGCATATTGGAGGCTGTATTGGGTTATGAGCAATATTAGTGGTGGCTTGGTTTTCACAATACAACATTAAGGGTTTTTCATAAATAATGCCCAGTTCTTCAAGTAGGGATCTCAGCCATAACACTTCAGCAACACCATTACCCTTAAGACCTGCACTCTGCTTTAGCATCAAAGCAGTTAATAACATTTTGTTTCTTTCTCCTCTAAGAAATAAGATTTCCTCCAACAAGGGCACGATACCCTGAAGTAAATCTCCTATCATCAACACACTCGGCCAAATCTACATCAGCGCACACTTCTATCTTCATATGACTATTATTCTTGAAGAGTATACATTGGCATGAACACCACTTTAAGCAGGTTAGTATTCTTTCAACAACAAGAAGATGGGATGTCCTAGGGGGAGTGCATATATTGACTGACAACACTAATAGCATATGAAATGTCAAGATGTGTTAGGCAAAGATAGAGAAGCTTCCCAACCATTTGTTGATACATGGCTTTGTCTTCAAGAGGCTCAACCCCTTCCACATTTATCTTATGATTTTTCTCAATAGGTGTGTTTATAAGTCTAACTCCCAATTTTCCAATTTCCTCTAGGAGATCAAGGACATATTTCCTTTGGGAGATGAAAATACCATGCTTTGACCTAGCCACTTCAATTCCTAGGAAATACCGCAAATCACCTAGATCTTTGACCTTAAACTCCTTTCTAAGTAATTGCTTAAGAGAACTAATATGATCAATATCACTGCCTATCACCAGAATATCATCAACATACATGACAAGGAGATTCAAGGCAAAACCTGTTTTCTTGATAAAGAAAGTGTGTTCAAACTAGGCTTGTAAATAGCCAAACTTCTCCAAGGCAAGTCTAAATATATCAAACTATGCCCTTGGAGATTGCTTTAGACCATACAAAGCTTTTTTCAACTGATAGACTTTCTTTCTAGTATCTACATCATAAAAACTAAGAGGCAATTCCATATACACCTCCACCTACAGATCACCATTCAATAAAGCATTTTTAACTAATGATCAAAGTATCAGTATCGGGTATTGTTCAGGACAACTTGGGTACGAAAACGGATACTCTTTGGAAACGCATGGATACAGACGAAAAATATGGGAACACTTGGATACGCTAGGGAAATGCATACAAATTCCATAAATGTATTAATGACATTAAGTTTAATGTCAAACTAGCTACAAACAATGTATAAATACTTAGAAATTGCATATTTTAATGGTATATATGAAGAAATGTATTACAATTAATATAGCGGAATACATAGATATCTTACAATTTTATTGATATTACATCAATCGGGAGCCCAAGACATATTATATAGATTTTTTACAAATTAATACATGCACAAAGCCATTATTATTTTATTTTCTATTAAAGTCCAAGGCATGAAACATATGCAACTATTATATCAATTTTTTCTATTTTGTTATTATTAATATTTTATTTATATAGATTTCTTGAAATTAAAAATCAAATTTTCGATATAAATGTGTATGTTGTTTTTTTGGATTGCATGTAGACTTTAACATTAATAAAAGTTAATTTGGTTCATTTGTTGTCATGAAATGAAAGGTGGCTTGGTGGTTAAGGATGCATGAAACTCTTGGGCATTAGGCGACTTGGGTTCCTCGGTTCAAAACACACTAGGTCCCTTTTTTATAGTGAGCACACTTGTCAAACCAGGGTTTGATACACCTCCTAGGGCTATAAATAAGTTGGATCAGATCCGATCCAAATTCAAATTCGATCTGGTAAGAGCCAGATTTGGATATTTCCCTTGATCCTAACAAATCAGATCGGATTGAAAAAATCAATCCATTTAGTTAATGGATTTAATTCAGATATACCCTGATATAATATATTATTATATTATATAAATAATATAATATATTATTTATATTATATCATCGAGTTTTTTATTACAATTCTAATCAAAATCGGATATTTGCTAAGATATTTGAATTCGAATCATACTCTTGAAAATTTGACGGATTCTTATTAGATTTGAATAAGTTGAATTTCTTATCGAATCAGATCAGGTGTACCCTTTAGCGAATCCAATTCGATCCATTTGCAGCCTTAATGCTTCCATATTGGACCGTATCGGATGATATTGTAGGATACACACTGATACAGTGGTGTATCAGATTGACATACGCACGACTGGCAAAATGCACCTATAGTCATAGTGTATCTTGTGCCGATGCAGTCCCATGCTGATACGATATGCCCCGTATTAGGCATATCATGTCGATATTTTAATCCTTGTTTTTAACATCCATCTAGAACAATCCCACGAGAAACTTGTTGCAAGTGATAACAATACTTTGATGTTGTTAGTGATTGGTGCAAAGGTTTGTAAGTAATCAATGCCATAAGCCTATGTATATCCCTTAGCAACTAGCTGGGCCTTGTATCTTTTAATTTAACTATCGACATTGCACTTCACCGTAAATACCCATATGCACTAATAGGTTTCTTCCCTCTTGGTTGATCCACTAACTCCCAAGTATCATTTTTGATAAAAGCATCCATCTCAACTTTCATTGCTTCCTTCCACTCAAACACCATTAGGGCTTCCTGTACTATTTTAGGAATGGGTATAGCAACAATGGATGCCAAAAAATATTCATATGGTGGTGAAAGATGATCATAAGAAAGAAATTGGGAAATGCACTGGGCAGCAAATGAGGTACAAAGATGCTTCTCTTTGTGGATTGTGTAGAGAAGATGGGCCGAATGGCCCATAGGCTGCTTATCCTTTGTTTTTTATGTTCTTTGTTGTAATGGGCCTTATTCTTTCTTGTGTTATGTTTTTTAATTTTCTGCCCAACTAGGGGCCTCTCTGTAAATTATTAAAGTTTAACTTAATGAAATGGAATTAGGGGTGTAAGAGAGAAGGTTAATGTTCGAAAATCTCTCTTTCAACCCTAGTTGCCGCCACCTTCCTCTTCTTCTTATTCTTCTCTCCTCTTGAAATCTAATTTCTGCTACTTTCTTTTGAATTTTTGCAACTTTCTAAACAGTCCTTTCTTTTCAAAAGACTGTTTTTCTTCTTGGTATCAGAGCAGACTTGTTTTTCCCTCTTTTCACCTATTTTTTTCCCATACACAGTTTATATGGAGAACTGAATCGTATGAATAGTTAAAGAAACCTATTTCAGCCTAGTTGTTAGTGGTTTCTGGAGAGAAGGGGACTGGTTTTGTCATCCTCTTGACAAATTCAAGTGTGTTGCCCGAAATCCTAATTTTTTAGAGAAATCTGATTACGGGCCCCATAGGGAGTTTGACCTAGGCGCTCAGTGACTAAAGGCCTTCTCATCCTTCATCTTGAAGATCGAATCAAGTGGATTGGCGTTCTGTGAAGTCTACAAGGAGCGACTGAGTTTTCTCTGTTTCTCCTGGCTTTCGAGTGTGACGCAGGTTGCTAGTACGACGGCATAGAGGTTAGCTCACAACACAGTTTTTGTTCTGTCTTCATTTGTTGTTATTCGAAGTTGTTAGAAGTCATTTTCGAAGTATTTAAGAAGATGAACTCTTCAGAATTTGAAAACAAGCATGTTGCTAAATCCGAAGAGGTTGCGGGAGCCTCTGTAGACTCTACTGGCTGTGACCACAGTCAAGCTGGATGGAACTAATTATCTGGCTTGGTCACAATCAGTAAAAATTCATATCTGTAGTAGAGGCAAATGGGGTTTTATCTCCGGGAGCAGAAAGGCTCCTCCGGAAGATGATCCATCTTATGAAAAGTGGATGCAAGAAAATTATACTGTTATTGGGTGGCTTGTGAACTCAATGCAACCACAAATTAGTCAGCACTATTTGTGGATGAATTCAGCAAAGGAAATTTGGGATAGTGTTGCTGAAACCTATTCCCAGAAATTAAATGTGGCCAGGGTTTACAAGTTGAGAAGTGATGTGAAGAATTTGAAACAGGGGAAGAAACCATTAGCTGTATACTTCTCAACACTAAAGTCTTTATGGAAAGAAATAAATTTGATAGAAACTGTAGCTTGAGACACCACTAATGATGCTGAGACCTACAGGAAACTGGTTGAGAGAAACAGGATGTTTGATTTCTTGACAAGGCTGAATCCAGAGTATGACATCACAAAGCAAAATATCTTATCCAAGGATAGTGTTTCACTGTCTCAAGCCTATGCCTTAGTAAGTAGTGAAGAAAGCAAAAGACTTGTCCAGGTCCAAGGGGTTGGTCTAAATGATCACTTTGCTAATATGGGAGTGAAACCCAAGGGAGTTGCAGGGACTCCAAGTAGCTCAGGGAAGAAAGAGATTATCTGTGAGTACTGTGAAAAGCCAAAACACACTAAAGACAAGTGTTGGAAATTGCATCCTGAGCTTCTTCCTCTTCGGTTTTAAAAGAAGTCTGGTAATATGATGGCAGGGAGTGCCAATGTTGTTGTTGGTCCA